CTAGTACTTTCAAACTATTCAACATTTCTAATCTAGTAGCAAAGTAGTAATGAAGAAGTATCAAAAATTTTACCTTAATATGCTTGAATTTTACTTCCATGCTTTCATCTCTCATTAACATAATCATAATAACCAAAGAACATTTATTTTATTCCAGTAGCAACAACCCCTACAGTGCAATTCCTTTATATGTAAATTCCACAGTACCTAAAACTTTGAGACTGAGCTCAAGGCATTTACATTTCTAGAAACACTTTTGCCAGTACAAGATTTGCAATCCAACAACTAAGAGCGTTTCAGTAGCTAGAGAAATTAATTCACTAAAACAAAAATGTTTAAAATATTTCACTATGCTTTTCATGAAACTCTAACATCATGTTGATGCTGCAGGAGCAGGAATACTTTGATAAAGCTGTGAGAAACAAACAGGTGATTCAGATTATCTGAACTTTTTGCAAGTGTACAAACAGTGAAGCATTTTCAAAGGGCAACGTGAATTTTTCAGAAGGTAATTTCTTTCCCAACTTACCCCCAAGAACTAAAGGCTTTCCTTAGTGTTGCCTCTTTGTAGCAGAGCTGCAGCTCAGCAAACTAAAGCCTCAGGATCTCCAGCTGTTATTGCCAGCAGCTTTTTTCCTACAATACAATCCCACTGCACAGTCAGGAAAGTATCACACCCGGGCCTTGTGAAGAACTGCAGCAAACACTCAGCTACAGCAGGTGAAATCTATCTCTGCAGAGCTTTTTCACTCTGTTACATCATTTTGCACAGTGTCCCAGAAGGGCAGATTTGTATTCACAGATGCTGCACTTCAACATACGCTGCTTTCAGTAGTGCTGACTCTTAGCATTTCACACCACGACTCCATTTACACTCAGTTCATTGTACAGAATTAAAATCCATGTTAGATCAAGGCAGATGGAAATGCTGCCAACCCACAAACTGTATGCCAAAGACACTTGGATTTTTCACACATCCTTAAAACCAGAATCTTCAGCTTGTCTTGCTCAGTAGTTAAGTGAAAACTTATCAACTTGGACCTATATATTAATATAAAAAATGAGAAAACCTCCTTGAAACTAAGAAGCTCAACACACTGTAAAAATACTGCATCCCTTTATGGAATGGTCACAAGAAACATCTTGACATCTAACACAAGGAAAGGATGTGTACAAGAAGCAAATAGTCCCTAATACCAATGTGGAAAAGAAAATCCTTTTTTCAAATTAAATTCTGTATATTAATGCAATGAATCTGAAGACTTGTCAAAAAGATACAATCTGTATCTCCACAAAAACTTACTGAAAAAAGCCCTCAGTTTTAGTTACTACAACAAATAAATAAAATGTTATGAAGAAGGATGACAAAGAAATCCAGAGAAATATCAGTAATGATATGGAATAAAGATGGCTTAGACAGAAGAAAGATTAAAATGACATAATGCAACAGGCACTGAATCTCCTTTCCTAGAACAGGGTCATTCCTTAATCTCTGCTGGGGATCCTAAGTATTTGTTCATTGGCTGATGGGGCCCAGTGACCTTTTAGAATATAACCAATTTAAAATCGCAAAACCATAGCAAAATGCAACAGTAAAAATTATAAAAGCCTTCTTAAACATTTGCTCTTGTCCCTGGAATATCCCAGTTTAACATAACTGGTCTGTAACAAGTGCTGCTGGGCTCTGTACATCTGCACATAGATAAAGAAGCAAACCTAAAACAGCTTCCAGTGGCTAAATTTACATTTGATAATCATACAATGTGTAGCTTGTGAGTGTAATGTGAATCCCAAAGTAGGAATTCAACTGCAAATGGAACCTGTTCTGAGTGAACAATGAGCTCAAAATCGAACACTCAAACTTCTTAAACTCTGAGACAAAACTCTCTAGGAAAAAAAAAAAACAAAACAATAAACCATATGCAAATCACAAACTAAAAAAATCAACAACTAACACAACAGGCCAAATGAACCCCATTCTCAATTTGCTTTAGAGTTTGGGAGGAAGACTGAGTACACTGAGATAGAATATGACTTCTGGGGTTAAGTAAACACAATTGAGGGATGCCAGTCAAGGTTTGCAGGTTTGCTACAAACTTATCCATCAGATCAGGTCTCCAAATCAACCCTGGAGGCATGATGAGCAACAAACAAAACAAGGGAAAGGATATAAAAATCAGCTGATACCTAACTGCAGGCATTCTGAGATCTTGCCTTTTCTCTTTCTTACTTCTTTGCTCTCTACATATTTACAGGAAAACATTATCTTTGTTTCATAAAAGCCATCTAGATTAGCTGTTTATTTCCTTTAAACCACAATCCCTATGTTATACCCCAACAGGTTCTTCTGAAAAATGACTGACGTTTACTACCAAGAATCAAGAGTGGCAGCAGAGGAACAGTTAAGAAACAAGGAACTCATCTGCAAGTAGGCTTCCTAAATAAATACAGAAACCTGGTGGAGCATGAAGACATGGAAGTGGAGGTACATGAGAGGGTGGAACTCCAGAAGGACCTGAACGTGTGGTGACAGCTGAGAGCACAGGAGGTCCACGACAGGAGTAAGTGCAGGGGACTGGGCATGTCCATGGGCTGGGTATGGATCTCAGTCAGAAAGAAATTTTCCCCTAATATTTTAAAAACTTCATCTGTAAATCTACTGTACACCAGGAAAGCACGAGCTGAGTGGCTACTGTCAAAGATCACACTTCTGAACTCAGCAAATGACTGCATTTGCCAAAGTACACTGCCTAGCCCTCAAAACACACGAAAAACACTTCAAGACAGGCTAGGGGAGTTTTCACCATAAGTTAAGGTACACACAAAAAAACCTGCTGGAAACAGCATTAATTCAATGTTAATTCAACCTGAGAAAGGCAAAGAGGGACTATAAATTAGAAGCTAATTTCACCTATAGAAAACAGTCCTGGAATACGTGTTCACAGCATGACATGAGGATGTCTCAAGTATTTATTTTTTTTCATGAAAAAATGAGAAAAAGTTCTGGTGAGAATATAGAAGTCTGGCTAGTTTATTAACAAAACCCAAAGTTTGTTCCTCTTTGCCATAACAATGAAATAAAAAGAGCAGCACTGTTGGATGTCAATTCCACAGGAAAGACCCTTTTCCATATTTCTTTCCTAATAAATTTTATTTTAACTAAGATTACTGAAATTTAAATAATCTAAATCTAGTTTGTTTATGAAACAAGTTCTGATTTAGTTCCTGAACCTTTTGCAGTTTAAATCAAAAAGATTTGTCAGTGTATTTTTCTTATCCCTAAGGTAATAGTGTCATTTTCTGACACTGAAAAATTTTACAAAAGGAAAATTCAAATTAGAAAATAAATTTAAATCTAAAACTACTACTGAGAGTTTATATAAATATGCCCACTCATAAATTTAACAACAATCTGAAACTTAACATATTACAATTGCCTGGGCTTCAAGTACAACCAGGTAACCTTAGCTGAAAATTGCTGACAGTGCCTAGAAGAAAGTGCACTGACTTCTTGACAGTCATTTTAGATATTTTTAACAAACGAATGAGTGTCCTGTTGTTAATCATTAAATACATATTTATCTCTCACTACCTTTTTACTCTTTTCTATCCCCCAAACATGTTACATTTTAACTCCTTGGAAACATTTCTCAAGTTTCATCTCTCCACTTCCGGCAACCCGTATTGGGCACCTGCATTTTAATATCACCACAAAGTGGTCCCAAAACATGAATTCACTTGTGATCACTTGCTCTTGCAAAAGCAGCCATTTGCCTTCCAGTCCAACGTGCCCTTGCTGGCCTCGTTTCATGAACTGGGATTCTGCAATGCACATCTGTGTTACAGTCAGTGCTGCCAGGCTGAAGGGCTCTTTTGGGAACACCGAGGAGTCCATGTACCTTGTAAATGCAAACAGCAAAAACCCTCGGATGATTCAAGTAACTGCTTTTTTGTTATCCGTTCCATAAAGGTTTAATATAGACTCCAAGAAAAATCTTTCAACAAAGATTTTATCCTCTTACCTCACAAAGTCCAAAGGGGGAAAAAAAAAAAAAAAAAAGGAATATAACCAGTTGGGTAATGCTGCCCCAGCGTTTTCCTGGTTTGCAGTGCCGTGTGAGAGACGTGCTTGGCTAACCCAGGTTAGCAGCAAAACGTAAAAATATCAAACACAGCAGTTTTTACATACAACAGACGTGATTTAAGAAGTAACAAGCGAGTCTTAATGTACGAGCAATTCTCAAAATATATCCGGTGTCCCGCCGCAGCAGCTGACACCCCGAGCCGTACCCGAGCCGTGCCCGAGCCGTGCCCGAGCCGTGGCCGAGCCGTGCCCGAGCCGTGCCCCGAGCCGTGCCCGAGCCGTGCCCCGAGCCGTACCCGAGCCGTACCCGAGCCGTGCCCGAGCCGTGCCCGAGCCGTGCCCGAGCCATCCCTCGCTGCGGGCGGCGGGTCGGGCCCCGCTCGGCGCCGGCACCTGCGGAGCCCCGCAAAGCCGCGGAGCTCGGGACTCGCCCGGGCCCGCCGGCCGCGCTTCCAGGGCACCGGGCGAGGCCGGCGCTCCGCGGCGGGGACGGCTCCGGCCTCGCAGCGCCCGGCCCGGCCCGGCCCCGGAGCCGCGGCCCCGGCTCCCCCCACCGCGCCCGGCCCGGCCCTGCCCGGCCCTGCTCACCGGCGGCTCCCGCCGCGCCGCGCCGCGCCGAGCCGAGCCGAGCCGAGCCGCGCCGAGCCGCGCCGAGCCGAGCCGAACCGAGCCGCCCTCCGCCGGGCCCGTCACCTGACCGCCCGGAAGCGCGGCCGGCGGAAGGGCCCGGCCCCCGCCCCGCCGCCCCTCGCGGCCCCCGGCCCCCGGCCCCGTTACCTCGGGCAGCCCCGCCCGCGCTCGGCCCCGCCGCGACCCCCGGTCCTGCGGGCGTGGGCGGCTCTGCTGCCCGGGGAGGGGCGGGGCCGCTCCGAACGGCGGCGCCGGGCACTGCCAGGAGCGCGCCGAGAAAGCTCGGCCCAAGCAGGAAGGGAGGAAAGAAAAGGACGGAAAGGGAAGGACGTAAGTTTGAGGGAAACGAAGTGTTGACTTAGGAGTGTAGAGTGCTAAGAGTCTGAGCCGAGAAGCGGATTCAGGATGGAAAGAATCTGAGCTGAGAATCTCCAGGATGGAAACGGAAACAGAGAGCTGGATAAAGGTATTTAGAGATTGATAAAGGTATGTATACAGTTGTGAGAAACCAAAGAACCAGAGGGACCAAAGCGAGGGAGAGGAGGTGACCTGCCCGAGAAGGCATTTCTGGAGGGTTTGTCCCAGCTCTGAGGGCACCCCACCAGTCCTGGGAACTCCAAGGTACAAAACAGCCCAAAATTGCTTGTTCTTTACATGGTGGAGAACGGGTAAATCCTAAACCAAGGTATTCCACTATAGCAGGTGAGTTTTATTAGGGAATAGTGAAGAAATTAAGGGAAGTTAGTGCCAAGGGAACCCATCAGAAAGAGCCCAAGGATATTGGCAGTGACCTGTCTGCTGCCAGGCAGCCTGAGAGTGCAGAGTTCTGGCGTGGAGGTTGGAAGGTGCAAGCCGGGAAGTGTCCACCAGGATAAAAACAGTTATACGAAATCTTTCTGCTGCTTTCCTGCACACAGGCTTGGCAAAACCCACAGCAAAATGGTTATCCAGAAGCCCACCTGGAGTCACCAAACACATTGTCTCACACCAGAAAATTTCAAGATGACTTGAAAATGTAGCACTTAACGTGACAGCGCTGATGGCATGAGGAGCACACAAAGCAGTCCTTCCTACCTGCAGAGCGGTGAAAATCTCCAGCAAAGCCACTCTCTCGTTTTCCACCAGCACAGCTTGGCACAGCTTCTATGCCCCAGCAAAAACTTTCATGTCAGTGTAGTAACTGATTAGAACGTTACCAGGGCCCCACAGACATGAACCGGATCCTCCAAAAGCTGATTAAAACAAGGATCAGTTTATGAAAGTCGGGTACGAGGGACGGTGTTGGACTACAGCTCCCGGCATGCGCTGCGGCCGGACTACAGCTCCCGGCACGCGCTGCGGCCGTACCACAGCGCCCAGCGTGCCCCGCGCCTGCAAGATGGCGGCGCCCAGGGGCGTCTCGGGCCCGGACAGCGACACCGGCTCGGACTCGGACAGCGGCGGCGAAGCGGCCGCGCGGTTCCGGGAGGCTGCCTGGGACTGCACCGCGCTGGCGGCGGCGCGGGCGGAGCCGTGCGGCGGTGAGAGGGCGGGGGACAGACTGGGCTCTGCTCCCCGCGCTGCGGCGTGCCCTCCTCTCTCTTCCCCGCCCCGCCCCGCCGCTCCGGTCCGGCCCCCTCCGCAACTTCTGACCCGTGGGGATTCCTCTGTGCCGCGCTGCCGGTGTCAGAAGCGAGGGGGCTCTGCCCGACCCTCCCGAGCCATGTCCGGCCTCCAGCCCGGCCCAGAGCCCCCTCCCGGCAGTCCTGGCCTGAGGGGAGTTCCCCTTTCCCCTCATAACTGTTCTCCCCCGAAGGCGGCCCAGGGCTGTCTTTCAGGCATTGTTTTTATGCTCTGACATGTGCCTGACGGGGGTTAAGGAAGTTCTGGCAAGTCTCTAAGTGTGCTTTGCTGCTTTCCTTTCAGGGGGCTTTAGAAAGGATCGGTTGCAGCCTAAAGATCAGCCAAGCTTGAGGTATTTTTGCTTCTGGTTTCAGACTTAATGTTTCCATTAAGAAAAAATTTATGTGCAATATTTTTGCTGCTTCTGCTTTGTACCTTATGATACTTCGTACTGAAAGGGGAAGTTTCTGTTTGGGGAATTAGTCCAACCATAATCTGAAATTATGCTTAAATTTGTACAGGATAATATGTTTTTAAGGCTTTGGGTGAGAGGGACAGATATTATTGGCCTCGAAAGAGATAATCCTTGTTCTTATTTCAAACGGGCGTGAGGCAATCGGCCGTGAGGAGGGTGACAATGAGCTCCAGACGACTCCAGAGTTCAGAGCACACGTTGCAAAGAAACTGGGAACCATGCTAGACAGGTACTGGTGTGCAAGGCTTGAAACCTGTGTTCTGTGGGTCAGTTACACTGACGTGTTTGTGTGCTAAACACGGGAAAGTCAACATCTTGTCTCCTTCATGCCTGTATTAAGTACAAACTTCCAGTATTCTGTGACCTAACCTTGCTGATGTGTTGTGCCCATCTAGTCAAAACTCTCTGTGCAGCACTGGGTGTCTTCATTTGCCTCTGTGGTGAACATCTTGTGCGGAGAAAAAGAGACGTCCATCCTGTAAAGGCTGGCGAGAGAATCTTGTTCTCACAACCTCCACCAGTCCCTGAATCAGGGCTGTGCTGGCAGAATGATACTGGGCTGCCCCTCTGTCTATTAGGCAAGGATGGCCCTGAGGAACTGGAATTCCTGCTGTTCAGAGCTGGCTTCAGAAACACTGTTTTCAAACTGTTCTTCTCTTCCTCATTGCTGAGGAGAGAAGGCCTGGTCTGCTCTGGAAACAGGGAGCTGAGGCAGCCTCACTAACAAAAAAGGATCTGTGCAACATCTCCCTCTAATCTTCTTTCCCAGAAATACCCACCTGTAGCTCAGTGTGCACAAACCTGTCTGAGATCTGACTGGGATTTTCTGTTTAGTGTCATCACTGTCTTGAAGGATTCATCAGGACCATCACAGACTTGGTTGGCACAGTCTGACTCTGAAGATGATGGTGAGTTCCAGTCTCAGCCTTTGTATCTGTTTTGTGACTGTTGGCTGCTGACAGGTGGGGTGGATCCTGTCCATCACCAGGACAGTGCATCCCAGTGTCTCATAAACATTTGCTCTGAACTGAAAGAACTTCTGGTGGTGTCTATGAGAGCTGCTCCTTTTCAGTTCTGACCTCTGTGCCCCAGGTCCTCCCACACAGTCCCAAATATTTGCTGTCAAGCACTGTGGAAATACAGAAACAGCACTGAGGCTTCCAGGAAAAGAGCAGTTGATTGATTCCACCTCTGTTTTATATTTTGCCTAAAACCCCTCTTTCCATACTTCAGGTTTCCGCCTCTTTTCTTCCTCTGTCCCTGGAGACTGTGGGAAGCCGGAGCCTTGCCCTGCAGCAAGGAGGAGGAGGCCAGTTAGCTCCAGGTGAGGTGCTGGCAGCTGCTTTGCTCCTCAGGTACTGTTGCATCCCACATTTCAGAGGCAGCTGAGACTCCCACAAGGGAATAGGAAGCTGAAGAGCTTGAGAAGTGTGCATTTATGACTCCTATATTTGACTAGACCAGAATTTTGTTACTTTTTTAGTGCTGGAGAATGAGAAACGTTTGTGGGAGATTTTCTTTCTCCTCCTAGTGTGTGTAAAGAGCACACTGGCCTTCAGACTGGTTAAATGCAAACTGTAGGTGTGGGAGTCTCAGAGCCACTGGGTGTTTATCGTGTGTTCTCATCTCAGATTATTCTGCTGTTCAAGTTCTGGGTGAATTCAAGGAAAAAATACAATACAAATTCCTTCCCTCTTGTTGCCTTTCCAGTGACACAGACAGTGAGCAAGAATGGCAAAGGTGCCAGGAGGCTGCCGTGTCAGCTGCAGATATTCTGAAGCAAAGTGCTTTCCCTGCATGGTCCCAGGGCTCCAGCCAGGATCAGAGTCAGAGTTATGTGGAACCCAATCAGAAAAAGAAGAAGAAGAAGAAGAAGAAGAAAATGAGGAGAGACAATAATATTCAAGAGAAAATAATAGACCCAGCAGAGTGTGACCAGATCTGCAAAGATTTGCCTCGGTTGGTGTCTGCAAATGGCCAGCAGGAGAGACAGAACAGCCATCACAGAGAGAACTCTGTGCTGCCAGGAGCTGTGAAGAAGAAAAAGAAGAAGAAAAAAGAATGATGATTTTGCTCTGCAAACAGCAGGTGGTTGTGATGGGTGAAGGAAACTGAAAGAAAACCTAACAACAAGAGTTGCTGCAGATGAGGGAAAATTAATTGGCAAAGCATCTGTTCTAAAAGCTCAGTGGCCTGAGAGACTAATTAAGTGACTTCCTGTGCTACTGGCGTCCCTGAGGAAAGGAACATTGTTCTCCTCACACAGCAGTTGGCTGTGCTGCTGCTTGTGCAGGCCCCATCTGAAAGGATTAAATCCTGTGCCAGGCTTGCATGGCAGAGGGATGTGATCATAGCTGCATTCCTCCTGGTCTGTTCCTTCACATCATGAAACCCTTCTGGAGAAAGTGTGTGATGAATTGAATTTGGTTTACATGGCAACAGGTGATCAGCTACTTTTTGCCTCCTTGTAGACTGCTAAGAATAGCTCCAGCCCATGGGAGACTCATTTTTCAAAAGCATCCTGTCAGAAATCAGGGCCCCTTATTTTTTCCCTGCGATCATCACAACAATCTGGTTTTGAAACCTGCTGTGTTACTAATCCCTCTGCAATCTGCACCTCTCCAGGACCCCTGCACATAAACAGTGTGTGGTGAGCTGATTTCAGGGTTGGTGTAAATGCATCCTACTGTTCCGGTTGTCTCTATTCAAAATTTTTGTTCATGTATAGGGGTTTTTTTATGGCATCTGTTGTTATTAAATTTTACTATACTCTTGGACATACTTAATTTTGAAGGTTTTGTACAACAGTGGCTTTAAAATATTGCTGTATTCAGATTGTCCCCAGTAGAGATAGAGGTGGCTCAGAATGGCTTTTTAGTTGCCTGGTGTTCAATGCTATGAAATTGCTACAGGAAGGACTTCAACATAATTTAAAAACCACCTTTCGGTCCTTGTTTGGGCTGGTTAATGACTTATGTCTCCATGAAATACTGTGAGGTTTGGTCGTTTTCACTCTTTGTCTGTTTATTCTTCATTTCCCAATCTTTCAGGAGATCAACTGTTATTGATAAATACTTACATTTTTAAGATTCCTGGGTTTCAGGAAAGCCAACTTATTGGCCCAATTCAGAAGTTCAGAAAGCCAGATTAGAGAAACCAAAGGAGTGAAGTGTAGCCCTTTGAGCATGGGAAATAGTTGTAAGATTCTTGCTGGTTTTTAGTTAAGAAAACACAGCTGGCATCCAAAAATAGAGAAACTAAGTAGAAACTTGGCTTATAATCTTAACAGAATGTGCCAGCAGAAATTACTTGTCTTATATGCAGTTAAAACTTCAGTGTACTGAATTTTAAACCTGGGGTTTCAAATTCATGGTGGCCTAAACATTTAGTTTTGTTTTGAGTTTATTTTTATGCTAACTGGAAATTAGATATGTTTGCAACTGGTGTACATGGGAAATTAGGAAACAATTCTAGGATAAAATTCCTCGGAGAATCTTGTTACTGAAATTGTTGATGGTATCTAGAGAAAACGCTTATGAAACTTTTCACGGATATCTGCAATTTTGGTATTCCCAGATACCATAACTGAAGAGTTCACTGTTGGGCATTTTTCAGTTCTCCCTTCCAGTCTCAAGGTTTTTCATGCATTTCACAGTTGAAAGAGTAGCTCAGTTTCAGTCACAGACAAAAACTTGTTAGCTGGGGCTGTTTTCATGTCTGGCTAATGATGTATCAGTGATGTGGATGTTGAGAGTAAATAGAGGAATAATTAGAAGAGGAATTACATAAGTAGATTCTTGGGACTTAAACTCTTCACTTAGTGCAAGCAGGACTCAGACCCCGGGTAGTTATTTGTATACCAAAAACTACAAATCAAGCCTAAATGGAAGCTGAGATGAGCCATGTTCTGTAAAATAAATCCAGGCTGAATGTTTACAGAGAAAACTGGAGGAGCCTCTACTCTGTGTGGAGCATGGGAACCTCTCAGGTGCTGGACAGCATCAGGGACCAGTGGGGAATGCCATCCTGAAAATCATTCAGCAAGTCAGATGAGATGAGAATCCAGAAGGTTTATGCAGAGAACTGGAATTCTCCTTGCAGCTGTTAAACTTTAATTTCTGCATTTAAAACAAAGCAGAGCTATATCAAAAACAACCAAGCCATTTCCACTAGGATAGCATGATTTTAGAGCAGGTCATTTTTAACCAAGAATGTTTGGTATTTTGGTAGTTAATTAAGGATTTGTAGCTTGTCAGTGATCCCATACTGACAGATTTGTGCCAAGCCATTCCCAAATCTGTTTCTTGGTTATTCTCATTGCAAAGTCAGGAACTTCCAAGGTGCTGTTATTTCTTATAGTTCCTGTTGGTGCTTCCTTGCATCAAAGGAGGAGAGTGTTTAAAGGTGGTGTCCCTTCTTTGGCAGCTCAGTCTTCCTCTTTCCCACATGATTTAGTCTGGTGCTGGCAGGTTTATACAGACCCAGCTTGATGAAAGCTGAGCTGAAATAAAGTCCCATCCACATCCTGGCACTGTTGGGATTCCTTCTTGGGCAGCCACAAAAGGATGTCTGGCCATTCTGAGCTGGCTGTTAGGGTTTGGGTTTGCTGTGGTTTGTTTTTTTTCGGGAGGGATGGGAGGAGGTGGCAGTGGATTTCAGCAGTGCCAGCATCATCTCTCCATGTTTTCTGTCTTGAGCCTGAGACTTCTTCTCTCCTGGAGGCAGCTGAGTAGGGGGTTGTGTGAGGCTGTGGAAGCAAGCACGGCTGGAGTTGCACCTGGCAGGTTGGTTGTGGCAGTCACTCAGGGGCTGCTTGTGGTGGTTACTGGGTGGAAGATGCCATCTGTGTGGAGATGAAGGTCTCAATGACGTTGTGAGTGGATGACAGCAGCTGGCTGTGGCTGTTGGTGGAGTCAGAGCTTTGGTACAGCACTAGGCTGCTGGAGGACACTGCCAAAGGTACAGGCAGAAGTCAATTGCAGGTTCTCATCAGCCCCTTAGTGCATGTACACCCCCATTTCCAGCATGGCTGTGCTCTCCTGGCTTAGGGGTATAACTGCTTTAGTCTGTATGTTTTGTGTGCTGCTAAATACCTGGCTTCTGTCCAGGCTAGCCTGAAAACATTGAGGACAGCAATCTCCAGAGAGTTCAGTTCTAAGAATTCTAGATGATGTCCTAGTTCTGCTCTTAGAACTGGGAAGACCCAATTGGAGTCTTCATAAGGGAGTCTTGGGCTTCTCAGCCCTGAAAACTGCCCACAGGACTGGTACTCATTGAGGCTGATTTTTGTTTATATTTTTCAAGGCACTTACCTTTCTAAAAGGTCCAGTTTCCACAGTCTGGCCTTACATGCACTCTGCTCTGAATCTTTTCCTTGTATTGACTTTTCAAACCCCTCAGGACACTGGCAGAGCCAATTTAGGGAATTGACAGCCCCAGTTACCATTTTCTAACTAGATTTTACAGTGTTATCTATAAAAACTAGGCAATACACGGCTTAAGAGCCACAATAGTGGCTGCTGCTCTTACCAGCAGGGCTCGAGGTGAGGCGTGGGCCTGGCTGAAGGTGCTGGATTGTTGTGTCCTGGTTCTGTAGATGGATTGTTGGTGCCTGTGACACTGGTGTGTGCATCCCAGACTCAGTGTGAGTCTCTGAGTCAGGTGTGAATGCCTGGAGAAAAGAGAGTTAATAGTACCTGCCTTCTACATCCCTTCTAACAGCTGTGAGAGAAGCATTGAGCAGGGCAGTTTCTGGGGAGGTGAAATCCTCCTGGATGATGCAGTGCAGATCTTGCACTTGTGCCTCCAGTGCTGCAGCTGGTACCAGCAGGGCCAGGAGATGAGAAAAAATGCTTCTACTGGGATGGCATGGACACACCCAAAGCTCTTTGATTTGCAAGGAGCTGCCTGCAGACTGGTGCAGCTCTCAGGAGGGGGAACAAAGGCTAAAGAAAAGCTGTTACCTGTTTAGTTGGTGTCAGGTTGGTCAGGGCGCTGAGATTGGCCGTGTCTGTTATCACCATGGTTTGTGGTAAGAGGCCTGCGTGTGTGTATTGAGTCACTTCAGATTTGGGGCCATAAAGAGCTGTACGTAAAAGAAAACAACATCATGTGGATGCTGGAGCTTTGGCTGAGTTCTTCTCCTCATGCAATGGGACCTGCTGTCTATATCCAAAATGCTGGGAGTGGAGGGACAGGGAGATAAATGCAATATAAAAATAGTTTCATAATTAGAGCAACAAGAACAGAGGAGGAAAAGAGTGCTGTAAGCCCAAAGACCCAGCAAATGGACTCAAGGAACAGTGTCTTTATTTTTGTTTACTTAAACAAATGAGTTCACATTCTTACCGTGAGGGTTCTGTATCTGAGCCATGGTAGCCATGAAGGGGCTCTGGTTGATGTGGCTCTGCACTTGCTGCATGAGGGGCTGCTGGTAGGATGGGTGCAGTTGCTGGGAGAACTGAACGGGCTGCAGGGTAGTGAGGCTGCTGCCCATGCTGTTTATTACAGGAACACTCTGGGGCTGGGTTGAGGCCAGGCCTGGAAAACAAGGACTGATGCCAGTGGTGTCCCACACTGCGGGAGGAGTGTGGCTGCTCAGCAATGGGAGCATCTGAAACAGGCATTGGGACAGCCTGTCACTGCAGGGTGATTTCAGATCCTGCTTTTCAGGTGTTCCCTTGATTGTCTATGATTTGGAATAGATTTCATGCCTGTGAGAGTGAAGTGGAAATGTCCAAAAACCTGCATAAACCCACCTCTGGTTTCCAGTGTTTGTTCCTGTCTACATTTTTGTGTACCAGTATAGTTTCTTTTCCAATTTAGTGATCACCAGGGGGTCTTGCTCAAAAATAAATTCAGAGCATCACCTCAGTGCCCAGTTAATTTACTCCTTTTATTTTATGAAATTGTTGGCAACACAGACAACTAGGCTGTAGCTGTCCAGCCACGTGAAATGGAGTTTCAGCTCTTTTTGCTAGGGCTGCAAAATAAAGGAATTTGAATCAGTGAGAGGGGTAGAAGGTTTCACACATTACTGCCCATTTTCTACAACTGTCCAGACCCTGTAAATCACCAGGTCTCTCCAGCACTCCCGTTTTTTTTTTGTTGTTGTTTGCACAGAATTCAAATCCATATCATAGTCTTGGGAATGAATGCAAATTAGTTCACAGCTGTCACCATGGAACAAAACAAGGCCTCTTTCTTCCTGGGAAGAAAGTGTAAGAAAAGAGTATACACTTTATTTTTTTTTCCTTCTTAATGAGATGCACTTTGGCAGTAGACTAGTCTTGGAATAAAAAGAAATCTCGTAAAAGTCCAGAAAAGCTGTCAAAATGAAAAATATAAAAAAATAGTAATTACTGCTATGAATTCCAAAGGCATATGCTGCTCTTTGCAGGAAGTGGAACACGATGTTTTGTCTTTCAAGCACTATGAACATTCTTTAATTTTCATAATTTTAAGGAAGTACTATATTTATATTTAGAAATATGAAGAGCAGCAAACCAAAACATTGGGATAGGAATAGATTGTAAAAGTCCCCTACTCTTAAAACGTGGGTTTTGTGTGTAACTTAATTCTACCATGAATGAGGAACATCTATCCTTAATCCCAGTGGTACTTGCCAGCAGCGCTGCTGATCGTTGGTGACCGTTTCCTCTGGTTTCTATCACTGCCGAGTTAGTGGTAAGGCTTTGAAAACGGGGTGGGTAGTTGTAACAAGGAGAGGCAGGTGTTGCTGTGGGTGCAGGAGCAGAGCCCTGCAGCCCCTACTCACCGATGACCAGGGTGGAGGCGCCCGTGTTGGTGAAGGCGGGTGCCAGGGACGGCGTCTCGCCCGCCCCGATCGCCATCACCCCCGGCAGGGAGGCCATGATCAGGTTCTGTGTCTGCTGGCTCAGCGTGTGTGGGCTTTGCTCCAGGCTGTGCAGGGCAGTCAGGGTGCTGACAGGAGGGAGGGTTCCTCCAGGAGCTGACACCTGCGGGAAAGGAGAGCCCTGAATGTGCCACCTGCAGCAGGCAGGTCCCAAAGCTGTGATAAACACCTTTCTTCCTGCTCTTCCAATTAGCTTCACATATCCTTGTCTGCAAATCAATTAACTAGCACAGGTCAGCTGTTGACATACTAAGAGTAAATCCCTGCTGGTTTAGTGCTCTCACATTTAAGAAATTGTAAGAATGAAATTAAAACCACTGCATTCTCTATAGGGAAAGATCATCTTCTATAGGGAAAGATCATCTTCTATAGGGAAAGATCATTTTCATAGCTGAGGGCAGAAGGTGAAGCTCAGAGACATTAAGAGGCTCAGGTAAATTCACATGGTAATTCTACTAGCAGAGTTCAGCGCAGATTCCAGGAGTTCCTCTTTCCTTTTGGGACCTGTAGTCATAGTATTATGGAAGAACAAAAAAGCATTCTAGTGATTTGGCTGATAAAGTTAAATGCCTTATATTATCCTTCTTTTCTCTCCCCTCAGATGAAAAGCTATAAAGAATCTTTAGTAAGAATAAGCACCAAGAGGTTAAACAGTGGGACAAACCACCTTGATATCAGTTTTAGAATACTGACATAGAAGATTTTCAGGACCTCATGAAAGACTTATTTTCTTCACCAAGAGACCAGAAAGCCAGCAAAGTGAGTGACTGATGAGATTTAAATCATACTTATTTTTAGCAACCTTAACTTTGCCTCCAGCCAGCCTTTGCTAATGCAAACTTCTGCTGTTTCTCTGAAAACAAGGGAACATGTGCAGACTGAAAATGATCAGTCATGTAGTTCTGATGCTTCTTTGTAAATGATGTGGGAAAAGGTCTGGTCAGATCTCAGGAGGAAATTGGCTTTGAGGAGGCAATCTAGTTATCCAGTACATGTCTGCTGTACAGGCTGTTTGGCTTCATTTTTACAGATAAGCTAGATGTAAGTATGAGTTTGTGTTCTGGTAATCCCGCTGGTCTGATCTACTCTCAGGATGGGTAGAGTCCAAATAAGAGTTAGAGATGAGAATCTCTCTGTGAAAAGGAGAGAATAGGGTTTCCTGGGAAGAAAAAAATCTTGTCATACCTTGAGTGCTGTGTCTCCAGAGCAGACTGTTTTAATTGCTCATAAGGAAATGCCTTCTTGCTTTCATGCTCTAGTACCAGCCCTCACCACAGTCTAGAGGGCACATATATCTCAGGACTATTGGTCTTACATGGTCAGTGTAGAGTGACTCTAATATAACATGTTGTTACATAACAGGTTATGTACAATATCTTACATATAACTGTGAAACATAAGGTGGATTTAAGAACATTCTAGAAAAAAATACCCATGATTAGTTCATATTATGACCACAGGCAGATGGCCTAACATCTCCAAGTCAGCAGAACGGGAGTATCCATCACTTACCAGCTTAGTGTCTGTGCTCAGCAGGTTCTGGCTGGGCTCCAGTCCAGGGGGAGAAACCTGTTGCAGGATGGTTTGGGTGGTCACCATGGAGCTGTTCCCGTGGTGGTTGCTGCTGGAGGACTCTGCCTCACTGGCTGGCTGCTGGTTGTACCTCACTCCTGCATCACAACAGGAGGGAAACTGGTTGTCACAAGTGAGAAACTGAGAAAATTAGGCAGGCACTAAATTCAGTTTCCTTTGCAGGCACTTGCCACCAGATATTTGGGCAGGTAGTTAATGGTCAGTAGGGGAACCAGAAGAAAAGGCACTCACACCCTGCCCTGACTTTCCCCTGCAATTTGGTGTTACTGCTTCCTCACACACTGGCTGGCTGTGAGTGCTGCAGGGAGCAGGAACCACCCCTCTGAATGTGCCTGTAGAGAGGAGCCTCAGTGAGATCATCTCTTCCCAGAGTGAGAGCAGCCCCCAGCTCTGGCCTGTGAAGCTGAAAAAGCTGTGCTCTTTTTGGATGGAGAATGGCTTTTCCTCATGCCTAAAAACGCTGTCACAGAGTCTGATGGGGTTGGCATTGAAAGGAGTAAGGGGCACACATGACTGAAAGGGCACAGAACTGACTTCTGATAGGCAGTGATGACTCCTGGAGCTGAGTCGGTTTGGGGTTGATGCCTGCTACCTGGGAGGCCTCACAGTAAGTGAGAAGCTTTGGCTGTGGGTTTTGTTACTGAATTTTATCTCCCTTGACATTCTAGCCACTCCTCACCCAGAAACATGGTCTCTTTGTCACCTTTGCTCTTCCCTTGTACAAATCTGCTTTTTCTATCTGTAGATTCGCTTCCTAAAGGGCTGGACTTTGAGACAGTTTGGGTGACTGAGTTTGGGGAGGTTCAGATCTCTTTCAGATCTCCTTCTGGTTGTTTCTTACCATGAACTTTGCTGGGTGAGAGAGCAGGTGGTGGCTGCAGGGAGGAAGAGCTGTGGGGAGTTAGAGGAGGGGCAGAGGTGGGCTGTGGGCCGCTGAAGGTGTCCATGGCCAGCTTGTGCCGGAACGCCTCCTCCTTCCTGCGATTGGCAAACCAATTGTAAACTCTGACCTCTGTCACCAGGTTTGAGCCCAGTCCCTGGGCCTGAGATGGGGAAACGCCTCTCTGAATACACTCTGCCCTGTTGGGAAAAGCACAAGAAGAGCCTTGCTGAGCTGGGCTTATTCAGAGACACAAAGTAAATGCACAGCCCCAAAGTGGCTGTGCTCTGGCACACTGTGTGGAAGGGTCCTGAGGCATTCCTTGTGCTCTGTGGACAAAGAATGATCAGCTGTGGCATTTAATTCAAGCGTGGCTGGTGTCAGTGGTGCCACCCAGTGCTGTACCTTTGGCCTGCCTCACAGTGGCACCAGCAAACACCAAGAACACAGAGGGACTCTGCTGTGCCCCTCTTCCTCAAAGACACACACCCACCCTTACCTGTTGCACTCTTCCACCAGTGCCTCCCTCTCTTCTTTGCTGGGGTTTTTCTGCCTCTCGTAGGCTTGGAACAGGATCTGTTGTGAGGCAGGACCCCACTTAAAGCGGTTTCTTCTTCCCTTCTTGGTGGGCAGGTCATCTCCCATGGGCTCATCTGTCAGGATACCCTGGCCAGCGTGTGTGAATTCTGCAAGCACAAAGGGGCAAGGGAATTTTTTCCTTGAAAACAATAAGGAGTAAGGACAAGCAGAATCCTTTCTGAAACTGAGTCAGGAGAGCAGTTGTTGCCATACTTACGCTGGGCCACCTCTCGCTGCTTTCGGACATACCAGGTGTACAGGGCTGCCCGTTTTTGGGTCTTCATGGGAGTGCCCTTGTTGAGGTGTTGTGAGAGGTGGGATTGGTTCAGACCAGTGGTGTCCACCACCTCACGCTGAGGGATGTTGTGCTGCTGGAGGTAAGACTTCACCATCTTTGCTACTCGCCAGGGATCCTCTCTGGAAGGAACAGAAAACCTTTCTCAGGGGAGAGAGATCAAGCACCTGCTCTCAGCAGACCTGGACTTCAAGGAAGTGCAGTAATAGCTCCTGAGTGGCACTTGTCAGTCACCACCATCACGTTTGGTGAGGCCAGAGCGCTCATTGCCTGCAGGGGAGAAAGCTGTTCCCCAGTGTGCCTTGCTCAGTTCTGACTCTGTGTGCAGGGTAAAACTGCATCATATTGGAAATAAATTGCAAAAAATGTAGCACTGGCTTCCTTTGAACTGCTGTCTGTACACGCTTAGGTCTGCCCTTAGGAGGAGACTTTGCTTACCAGGGAATCTCCCAATACACAGAGGCAACCTCTCTCTTCCATTTCCCTGTATTACTTTTCTTCTCTATCCCCCTCTCATTAAAGCAGATGGGGCAGATGTACTGAATTTCTCAAGACAGATTGATTGTGATAGTAGACTGAACTTGACTCATTCCCTGATTATGGTCCAGGTTGGGTTGCCTTGCAATGATTCAGCAAATGAAAACAGGCTGTCATTATGCTGTGACATGGCAGCTCTGTATGCATATGACAAATCATCCAGAATTATGTTTTTACACATCTGCTACGTGTTACTCAAACACATTGGTTCACACCTAGATCTACTCAAAGCTTCTAAATGCAATGTAGAACCACAGGCAAACCACTGATTCCTCCTACTGCTGCCCTCCTTTGGGTAACAGCTGAGGGAATAGAACTATTTAAGACCGCTCACAAAATCTGAGGAACAGTTTGGGATTTTATAATTAATGTGATCCGCTGGGCTTTTTGATATCCAGTTAGAATATCCCATTAAGGTTCTTGAGGAAAATAGAGAAAACATGACTGTGACTTTATGTGTATTGATTTCACCCCAGCTGAAAGTCACAGTAGAAGTAAAGAAACACATCAGTCTAAATCCAAGCAGTGCCAGAGCACCTCTGCAGCACAGCTCCTGGCTCACTTTGAACAAGAGCATCCTTCTGTGCCTTCTGTGTGAAGTGTCTGGAGGAAATGGTTTGCAGTGCTGTAGGAAGACACTGGTGTCATATTCAACACCAGCATCAAAGGAGCAGTGGGGAGAAAAAAGGTGCCTGGGAGGGTGCAGAAACTGTCTCAAGAGCACACATGTCTGAGCAACAGGCAACAACTGTGCTGTTCATGGCTTTGTTGACTCAGGAGGTTGCTGGAGGCTGCACAGTGATAAGGAGGACAAAGTCCACACCTGTTCTCTCAGTACAAACACCCTTATCTCTGTTCCCCTGCAGCCCCTCTCCCAGGGCCTGTGTAGTCCAAGGAGCAAGCTCCAGAGCAGTTAAAGTGTGACACAAATGGTGTCAGTTACAGCTTTTTGAAAACCTGCTTAAAATAGAACCTTAGTTTCTCTTTTACATTGGAGCACTTGCCATAGAGGCTTCTGATTTTCAGCATCTTCCCTTAACTATCTTTGACTTTCAAAAACCTCAAATTGAGCTGAATTTAAGAAATCTTTTCTTTCCTTGTGGTTCATTTTATTTGTTTGCTTCTTTCTTTCTGCTGCCCAAACCAGTCTCCTGCCTTTGTGCTTGTGATAGTCTGCCTAGCACCTGCACCCTGTGTTCATTGTCCAAGTCCCTCTATAGAGGAGAAAAGCCTCTGACTGGGAAGCTGACTTCTTTGATTTGAGTTCTGGCTCAGATAGGAGGAGGAAAGACTGTGTTGTCACTGATGGAAGCCTCTGTTATGTGTTAGTTCCTTTCTGCACCCCAGTCGAGTCAGTTTTGTCTCCTCTGTTGAGATCCTCATTTTGTAGCAGGAATAAACAGTAAGTTCTGTGAGTCTCTTCTCACAGTAAAGACTTGTGGGTTTTGCCTTTTTTTGACACAGCAGGAAGCTTTGTGATACAAAATAGTGCAGGGGATCTTAGTAGTGTGATTTCCTAGGACAGCTGTATGAAATCCTGGCTACTCTGTACATTGTCAAAGGCCAGTCTGCAAAACCAATGCAGCGAGTACTTCAGGCCCAAGGCTACACCACAGTCCAAGTGATGACAGTCTGGCCAGCTGAACCCTTGCTCAAATACACAATTCCACCTGCAGAGCCTTCATCACAGGCTAAGACATCAGAAGTTGAGACCTCTTCTATTTCACTGTCTTAAGAATATCATTGACTGTCAGAGGGAGGATTTCACTCTAAACTGAGTTCTCCTGCTTGTTGTTACAGCCAAATCTCAATTGTTACAGTGAGTCAGAACTGCACAAATAGGTCTGCTTTGCTCAAGCTCTCCTTCCCTATCATCTCCAATTTTCTGCCTTTTAGTTTCCCTTTCTCCTCAGATAGCAAACTGTCTCCCCAGGGTCTTGTTCTCCAGGGTGTAATCTGTCTCCTAGTTGGTCTTACACAGGTTGCTTTTACTTCTGTCTTCTGAAGTCTTGTTCTCCTGCTCTCAGTTGGTTATTGCCATGTGAGCATAGCCCTTCTCCATGGCTCATCCCCAGCACAGGGGCCAGGGTCCTCTCTCCATGTCAGCTTCCCATTTTCTTAGTTCTGAGGTCACTTTTTAAGGGCGTTTTCACCTCCCTTTTGTTACCTGAACAATAAGTAACCCAGGTAGTTAGTTATAAACTCAAAGGGAACAAGAGGCTGGTTGATAATTTATAGCAACATCTCAAATTTAAATGGAAAGTAAATATCAAGTTGTTAGCATTAAAGAAAACCCATTCCAGAGAGCTGGAGATGTAACATTCAGGGGACCTTCTCCCTCCTTCACTCTTCCTGACTTCTTATTTTTCCTTTGTTCTTTTCTTTCTTTTCCTCTTCCTCGTTCTGTCTCTCTCCCCTTCTTTCCTGTTCTGATTCTCAGGTGGGAGAAGCCTTCATTTCCCTGAGGTGGGTTCTGAATTGCTGCTTTGGACCAGACCCTGCTCAAGCAGAGGTTCAGAGCTGTGAAGTGCTCAGGACCATCCCCAGCCCTTTCCTCTGGAGCTGCTCCACAACTCAGTGCCCAGTCTGGAGCCAGGCTGGGCAGAGGGAAGGTAAGACCATCCATCCTGGCAGAGCTCCTTTCTGTTGAACTTGGCCTGGTTTGCCTCATCTTGGTTTATATGTGGAAATGAAAGGGGTGTGGCAGCTTCATCTCCAGATTCCCCAACTAGAGCCATTCTAAGCAGGGGAAAGACTGAACCTTTGTCATTATATATCTTTGTTTTCATTTTTCCTTCTGGGAAACATGCTTTTATATCTGCTTCCAGGGGAAATCTGTTGCTTATCTCAACTTCTCTCTTTCCTAATGGAATTTCAGCCCTTGCCCTACAGGTGGATTGTCACTATACCTCTCTTCATTTGCTTTACCTGCAGTAGTATAATCCCTTCCCCCAAGGTAGCCTCCTTCTTGCTTTATATTCTGGGAATGTCTGGGAGTTTCTCCTCACAGCTCTACCTCCCTACTGAGTCATTTATTTCTTATCATAGATGCAATTTGTTTTGTGTGTGGATTGATATGGAAAGAATGTTTTTATTCAAACTGTAAATCTACAGGAGATCAGTGAGACATAGGAAAGGACAAAATGAAATTATGTTAATTGCCCACTAGAGAAACCTTTATCTGAACTGCTTTTAGCATGTTTTCTCTGCAGGGACAAAATCTAATCAACACCCATGGGTGCACCCAGTCCTGTGAGTGTATCTTGTTTGTTCTACTCAGCTTTGACCAGAGTTTTTCAAACCAGTTTCAGCTTCAGTGGTCCTGTGAAGACATAGTTGGTCTCTTGGTGCTGTCAGTTTTTTCTCTTCCCAGCTCCTGGAAAGCCTAATAATGGACACTTTTCCTGATTCTATTTTATAAAGCAATTACCACAGACTTTCCTGTATCAGCAATAGCTGCCCACAAGTCAATCTGTCTGTTGAAATTTGGTCTGCAGACCAGGAATTGTTAATAATGCCCAAAGAGGCTTCTGTCTAAAGGGAGATTTGCCTCCATCTGATTTCTGCATTTGAAACCCTTGTGTAGATGGTGAAATAGTTTTGCAAGCATTGACCTTTTGCTGAGAATCCATGGGCATGGAGATTCTTGCCTGCCTTTCTTTTGTCTATTGCTGGAAGTAATTTCTACCATAGACTATTCTGCCCTGCTTTACAATACTTATAGTATTATTTTAAGGACATTACTTTAAATCTATTAATGGAAAGGTGTGGTCTTAAAACCAAAAAAGTGTATTAGTAGATAAGAACTTCTTGGGTATTATCAAGCCCTGATACTGGTTCAGGTGCTTTGAACACATTTTTAGACATTCTGTTGATTTGATGAGAAATGTGAAATATGTCAGTGTAGGCTTCCTACTCTTTTCATTTTAACTTGATTAATTTAAATCTATTCTAGACCTCCATAAGTGTACTTGTAATTTTTTTCTGACACTGAGGCTACTGGTGTCTTCATCCTATTGTCAACAGCAGAAGTGAATTGCTCTGTCCTGTGGTGGGGGAGATTGATGGCAGAGATCTCTGTTTCAGAGTAAAGCCTTTGTAATTAAGAGGCAGTGTGAGGCTTAGGAGATCCCTGTCCTTGCCCAGTCTCCTCTGTGCTGTCTCAGGGGTTTAGGTAGGTCCTAGAATTTGTCTGTACCTCAGTTTCCATTTGTGAAATGGAAATGCTGCTCAGCACACTGTCTGACTGTACATCAAAAAGTGTTAATATCACAGCTTTGGAAGAGAGGTAAGACTTGTGGTGAGACTGGTAAGCACAGGGAAGACTGGCAGCAAGATCCTAGAAAGGCAGGGAGGATCAGAAGCCAGAAATGGTGCTGAAGTGAGGGTGACAGGAAGGAATTGCCTCCATCCCTGTGTCTGTTCTTAGATCACAGCAGATGTCACTTCAGTCCTGCTTCACCCACTCATTAGAGAAAAGGGACAAAGCCAGGGAGGTCTTCCTCAACTTCCATGGCTTCCTCTCTGGAGAAATACTTGATAAACCATCAAAAGTTAATGATCAAAAAGCTTATCAAGGTATTTTCATCTATAAATTTATAAGACAAAAGAGAAATAATAAAGCCATTGGATAATTAGTAACTAGCCAGGGCCCGCCCGGTGCCACTGGGCTCAAACTGCCCCAAGACCTGTACGCAGACTCAGGAGGATGAGAAGGAGACAAGGATGAGGGGAAGAAAAAGAGTGGGAGGCAGAGAGAGAACCAGCCAAGGACATAACAAAATGTGAGGAATAGCAGCAGAAACAATAGTGAGGAGAGAAGGGAGATAGGTAAAAAGAATCTGAAAGATGTAAAGGAAGTAGAGAAAACTTAAAGATGTGGAAGAGCTGGAAGTGCAGAAGATGAGAGACATACTGGGCCAGGAAGAAGAGAGAATTACTGGGAATATTTTCCCACCCAGGTAAGAGCTGATTTCCTCTCTTGGGTTCTGCAGAATCCTCAACTCCCAATCTGCCAGGGAGCTTTCTTTTAAGTATTTACAGGGAATGCTAAGTCTTGTCATGCTCTTTTCTTAACTCTGGCCTTTTGTGGTGGGATTTGATGTTTGCTTCTGCTGTTATATTTTCAGTTGTTTCCTTGGCAAGTGAAAGAGAGTGATCAGAAAGCCTGAGAAATTCCGCAGCTAGATTTTTTGTGAAGACTTTAGGTGCAGGATGTTGCTGCACCTCTGTCTTCTGTCAGCTTGTCATTTCAAAATAGCCCTAAAGCAGTCAGGAATCTGTTGTGATGGATGGTAGGATGGGCCTGACCCTTGCTTGGACAAACTTTGGTCTCCCATGGGGATTGTATCCCAGTAAGAATCCCAAATGGGAAATTGAGTGAATGCTTCTCTGACTTTATTATGAGGCTTATTGATTCAGGGAGCTTTCCCTGTCTTTTGATCTCAAAAATGCTTGTATGCAAAGGCAAATTTTATGTGGCAGCAAACTCTGTAACTGTTGCTGCATATGTACTTTGTAACTGTGATGGGCAGTGGGTGGTAGAAGCAGAGTGTTCTGTCCAGGTTTTAACCTCTGCATCATGTATTTGGGATGTGCTTTTTACAAGAAAAATCCCCACCAAAGTCAGGGCACTTCACACTCAAAAGAACAACAAGGACAGGGTCTCTTGATTTGGCTTTGGCCAATAATCTATAGCAAACCTCAGTGAAATTAACAATATAATTATCCTTAAATACAGCTGGGAAACATTACAACTTCACTGTACCATTCATGCAAATATAGCACCAGCTCAGAGTGACCAGTTGTTTTTTTTCCCTTCCTGATGACTGAAATTTTGAATTGTATTAAAAATTTAAATCCTAAACCTTAAAATTCAGTAAAAGAGACGAGAGCTATACAGGCCTTGGACTATTCTGAAGCCTGATGCTATAAGCATGTCAAATATGTAATCAGGCTCCATAGCTTCCTTAATGCATTTTAAGCGAGATAAAAGGAAAATCTGAGCATTTATAAAGCATTTGGGGGTGTTTGGGGGATGCTAGTCCTGGCTTGGGTGAAGATTGTGATCAATTGTGAATACTAGGGACACTGAGGAGAAGGGGAAAGGAAAAGAGATTTAGAGGGAGAATGCAAGAAAGCAGCAAAGAGGAGCAGTAAATCTGTCCTTACTGTAATAGTCTTTCCACCACAGCCTTCTGGTGAGCAGCCTCCTCAGGGCTCAAGTTTTCCAGCTCCTTCATTATTGGAGGGGTAAATTCCTCTCCGTCATCTGAGGTTTCATCTTCTGATACCCGGGGCTCCCCCATTCCGTTGGGGAGGTTGGGGATGTCGGGACAGGGCTCCCCTTTCTCACTCTGGAGGGCATTGATAGCGCGCTGGCTTTCACTCTGGAGCCCGTAGGGTTCCGCTTCGCTCAGTGCCTTGATCAAGGTCTCCTTGGTCAGCCCCGACTCCAGCAGCGCTTCCAGCAGCTCCACTTGGAGATGAGTCAGCTTCGAGACCATGGTCTTCAGCCTGGTGTCTCTTGGGTTTGAATTTCGGGTTATCCTGCTTCCAGCTTCCCTACACCATGTTCCTGAGGTAACGCGCCCGACTGTCAGGAGAGTGGGCACAGCGCAGCCTCCCGCCTTTACACCCCCCAAAAAAAACAAAATACAAAATTGAGCCACTTCAGACCCCCCACGACTGTCCTGAGCCAGTGCTGATAAAGGGACCCTTGGCTATCTGTTTACATTGGAGCAAATGTAAATTCTCCAAGGTTCATATTTATCTGTGTGCTTTAGCAAGTTACTGAACTTTGGACTTCAGCACTGCCGCAGCAGTTCACAAAGTGCAGAGGGAGAGAAAGCAGGGGGAGGGGGAAAGGGAGGGAAGCAGGAGTCAGAAGGAGAAGAAAATGAAGGGATAAAAAATCTGCAGCATGGAAAAGTGAGTATGGAAAGAAAACTAGGAAGATGGGGATGGAAAAGCATGGCTTACTTGTGGCCCCATTCATTTTGGAGAAGGAAGAAGGTGGAGTACCCAAAAGGAGGAGCTGTGCTTGACTGCCCATGGTTCAGGACAAGGTGCTGCTGTTGGAATATCACAGAACCTGCTCAGAGCTCTGTCACTGGTGAAGTACAGCCAGTGTCAGGCCCTGCCAGAGGCTTTGGGCTGAGAGAAAGCCACACTGGCTGCACTGGTCTTTGTGCAACCCCCAGAAGAGGGGAAAGTGACCACTGGCTTTATGTGAACATTCCCAAACCTCACATGGTGTTCTGAAGCTCCAGCTGATTTCTGTGGCAGACCATCAAGACTTAAGTGACATTTTCATTTCTGGCTTTGGCTGCTGGGTATCTTGATGTTCAAAAACTACACCTTTCCGTGTTTATTGCTCAACTATGAGCAGAAGCAGTGTTCCCACACAATCTGGGGGACTGCAGGACTTGCCCCTCTGAGCTTGTGATTAATGTATTTGATAAAGGATATCCCTGGGTGCTGGGTCATGCTCATACCCCTGTTCTATCATCAGCCTGCCCTACTGCTTCTGATGAGTGCTCTGGGCAAGCTTGTGGTTCCCCTTTATCATCTGCCTCCATCCCTTCTTGATACCAGCCCTCCTCTGAGATTCTGCTCCCACCTGTTGGGTGATTTCCTAAAACACAATCCCTGGCTTGGCTGGAATTGCTTAAAACAATTCTCCAGGAATCTTTTTGACTAAATTCTCTTTTCTGATCTGAAATTATATGAATGAATCTATCTACTTTGAATGGCTAAATTAGGGAGTAACTTGATGTGCACACGTGGGCTCGATGCACGAGTGTCTCATGCGAGTGATCCTTTGGAGGATGTAAAGCTGTGGTCTCAATGGAAGCTTGCCAGGACAACTGCCTGTGTCTGTACACTCCCATGGAGCCTGAGCTAAATGGAGCCTGGTAGGGCTGTCCCCAGACTGGGCAGTGTCCCAAGACAGTGCTGCAGAGGACCTTGGCTCCTGTTTTCCATCGTGGGCAGCACTGGCCAAGCTCTCCAGGCTCCTGAGTCAGCAGCTGCAGGACAGGGTTCCTGCAGGGACCCTCCTCCCTCCCGGCACCGGGCGGGATTGTGTTAACTCTTGCCTTTTATTTCAGATCTGGTCTGTGCCCAGAGCACCGCGTCCCCTCCCTGCAGGGCGTTAACAAAGCTCTAATGGATACTGACGGCTTTGTGTGGCTAAAACGAATGAGAATTCCGAGTCCATGTGAAACCATTTATTTGAAGAAATGTTCATGTGAGCATTAATGTAAAGACAACTTCAGCTTCTAAAGATTTTTTTGGGGTCATATTCTTAATAAAGAGTTGTGCTGGTTTTGCACCCATCACAAGAGTATTTAAAGAATGGTGAGCATTTCTGGCATTGTACTGTCACTGCGTTGATACAATTTCCATGTATTTTATTTGTTATTACAGTTTTCCTTCATTCCCGCCCCTCAGGTAGATATGACAACATTACCAGCTGATAACAGTAATTTTCAATTGTAATTACAGTATCCAACCATGACATACGGTTTCTGCATGATATGTCCTTATAACTCAAGGATTTTGCAAACAGACACAGCAGATTGTGGAGCTCTTGCAATATGTGACAGAGGAGATGCTGTCATTCTGTGTTACTTATTTCTGCCTCTCTTTGGCATGGTGATCTCTTTTACATAAACCAAGGTGGAAAATATTACCACTGTTCTTGAGATTGTCCATATTCTGTTGGTATATAAAACCTATTGAATGTTTGAGGGGTGATGGGGAACACAGATCATTAAGTTTAAATAAAGAACAGCAATATTTGTCAATAGAAGCTGTAAAGAGAAGAAAGCATAGCAAGAAATTAGGTCTATGTTATGTGGTTTCAAGGATTCCTTATGCACCCAGAAGTCCTGATGCTGCTGCTTCTGCTTGCCTTGAGTACCTTAAGCTCTAGAAGCTTTTTTTTGAGACCAGTGAACGTTGAAGTCTATAAAACCAGAAATGCACATCTGTTTGTATGATGGAACCTCCCTGAATGCCACAACTGGATGCCACGTGGACAACGCTTAGCTGGACAAGGAAACATTTCAAATACTGAAGAGGTGGTAAATATTCTGTATCACTTTATCCTGAAAGGCTTTTTCTCTTGGTCTATTGGGATTGTCCATTTTAAACTGTAGGACAATTAGCAAAAAACTAAATAAACTTACCCACTTTCATTTTTCCATTCATTGGAACCTGCCAGGCCGTGCCAGTGAATGGCTCTGCCCCACTAAGTATTTCAGATCCTCAGTGCAGGAAAACCAGTGAGCTTTTCAGTGTTTCTTAAGTGGTAGAAATAGCTAGGGGTCAGACTGAAAGGGATTCCTGTTGTGAATTAACCAGCATCCCTATTTTATAGCCTGGCACTAAAGATTGCAATATCAAATTTATCAGATTATTACAAGTGCAGTTTTGAGTTGATGAGAGAATGGCAGAGGTCAAGGGTGGAAATAGATTATAGTTCTATTGGAGGAAGAACTCAGTTGCAGAGTGCCATAATCAGACAATGTTCTCCTGAAACTGAATTGTACTCAGGGATGATGCCTTGAGGGTGAATATTTGAAATAAGGGGACTTATGTTTCCTATACCCATTTTTATCTATTACTAGTGCTTACTCTATGTTGATTTCCTTAATTGTAACCACATCCTAGGTCATGACTTGATTCTCAGGTCACTCTGATTAATATGATCTTGGTCCTTGTAACAGGGGAAACTTAAAGTTTGAAGACACTAAAAGATACCTGCTTGTTTTTCTCATGTTTACAGTATTTGCTTTTGTATTAACTGTTCCAAAGTAATCTCTTCTTCTCTCCTGTATCTAATAAAGTGAGTGAATTACTTAACACTGAAAACACTGCATGAAAGTATGAATGGGTACACAATAGGAACATTATTCTTATTTTACTGGTCTGTATTCTGCTTATTGCACTAGGCCAAACTCACAAATGAGGGACAGCAGAGTCCTGTGAACCTCATGGAAGGCAGAATAGACTCCCAAACCCTCAGTCCTGTATCAACACCATTTTTACCTCTGATGTTTTAATGTACTGAATTATATCTATTATGAAGTGTACATGATGAAAAACACAGTAATTTGTTGGTACAAAGCCAGTGTAATGCAGCTTCAAGGAGCACACAGAGAAAGAAAAAAGAAGTCTAAATATATTTATGATAAAAGTGCTACTAGAGGGAGCTCATATAATTCCCTGAATAGAGTGGTAAAATTGCCATTGGCAAATGAAACATGGAGAAATGGTTCTTTTAATAATTCTTTACCATTTTACTGTTCTTCCTGCTGTGGCTGATAAATGCTTTACTGGCCTGAAAGACATTAACATAATCCCCTCCTTGAAATGTGAGAGCTATTATGATAATTTTCACCCTTATTTCTGTTATTGGGGAAAAAAAAAAGCTACATGAGTCCCAAAACCGATTATTATTTGTGCATTGGGAGCTTAGTCCCAAAAGGCACACAGGAGTGTGAAAAATCTGAGATAAATGTTATTTATACCTTGTTATCACAGGGTTGGATTTCAGCTATTTGTGCAAACCCTGAGTATCTCAGTGGGGAAGGACTTGCTTGAATACATGGTTTTAATGTTTCCAGTATATACCCATTTAGATTCTAATGCAGTAGTCTTTGGTGTAAATATGTGAGTGTAATTGGAAAATGTGATTTTACCGAGAAGGAAGCTGGGTTTTTTCATCAGTGGGCTGGGCTGGATGCAGGGCTTGGAGTTGTGATGTGGTAAATCCATCGGGCAAATGGATTTAAATGACAAACTTTCTCTACACATTCCTCCACCTGTATGTGGAAACAGGACTGTGTCCTCCTTCCCAGTCATCTGTCATTTTCTCTCTCCCCTTACTCCCTGTTTCTACCATCACGCTGAGGGTGAGGGTGGAGATCAGGAGCAGCTCTGGAGCTGGGTTATGAAGAGGTTTCCCACTAGGTGGTAGTGAAGAGAATCGTGTCACACACGGTCACTGCACGTTGTAATTAGGTTTTATAAAGGGGAATCCCACAAGGATCTAACAAGTAAATAGCCTAGTATAGCTCCCAGCTGTACAGTCAGAAGTGGATCTCTTGATTTTTGTTTTTTTTCCTTCCTTTTCTGCTCCTGTCCATGCTATTTGTTCCTTCCTAAACAAAGCAGGGTTGACAACTATACCTGTCATGTCCTTTCCTGAAGGGTGAAGTGTCTACATGAAGCTCCTCTGGTTCTCTCCACCTCCACTACAGCAGAATCAAGACATGGTTAGCTAATGTCATCTGCTGACATTTAAACAGCTTGGAGGTGAGGACTCTGTAGCCAGTACTTTAATCTGATTTTTCTGTACCTACCACGCTTGCCTCTGGGAGCTGCCCTTCCAAATATAAAAATAATTTTTAAAAGAGTTTTGTTTGCTGCTAGTTCTGAAATACCTTGACAGGTCTAAGTAAAGCATCAGTCTACATCAAAGGTTCCAGGCAGAACAGACATTTTGCGAGGACTTTGTAATGTCACAGTAAACTGTCACTAAAATTCAGACTAAAGTTCTCTTGTAGGTCCAAAGAGAGACTGTACAGAAGATACAATGAGAAAATTATCTGAGGAATGCAAGCAGTGCTCCAGTTTGCAGTTGAGAGTAGATGCTGGGTCTGCAGGGAGGAATAAATTTCTCCTGTGAATTCATTACATCGCTATCCTGTAATGATAGAGCAAGCTTGCAAAATCATTTAATAGTCTAGTCACAAAGCCTGAGATGCTGGAAAGAAATTATACTTTAATTGCTCATCAGCTATAAATCATTTGTGCCAAATTAATGTGCTGGAAATTTTGCAAGACTGAGAAACTGAAAGCTGAACACAAAACAGGGATATTGTTTCATAGATAGCAATATCAGTTTTACATCCTTCTCAGCAAAAAGAAAATTTGGAAAGGCTCTTTAGTATCAAGACAAGGCTGAAGACTGATTTATCTTTCTCTGCATTGATTTAAAAGGACAGAGAGGTCCTTTTTTCTTCTTACATTTACTCTGTTATAATCAATGAAAAGGGTAGCACCAATAGGCATTCCAGGCATTCAGGTTTGCACCACAGTAGAGTGAGGATTCCAAATTGTTTATTTATTATCTAAGCATTTCTGCAGGTCTTTCTGCTGTGCTGAGGAGAACAAAAGCAGGCACTGTATCTACTGTGCAAACCCTACCTAAGATTTTTGTTTTTTAGACAGGGGATCTGTATGTGGGAACAGCAGTTTCCCCCCAAACTCACAGAATGGGCTGTGGACCCCACTGTTCCAGCTCTGAGCATGACTCCTCCCTCCTCCTCTCATGCCCACCGAAGCTCACCGATCTACCCAGATGGGCAGAGGGACTGTGCACAGGGTGCAAGCCGAGGGCAGAGATCAAACAGGGCAGGAAGTTTCTCCAGTTAGTCCAGCCTGAACTGGATGGGAGGAAAGTTTAACATTCCTCACCCTCTCATCCTTCCAGCACCCCCAGCTGCCAGGACTGACCCCAGCAGGGATCCCGTGACCCAGTCAGGCACAGGTACTTGGAGCATTTCCACCTCATGGCTGATAAATCCCATTCTCAAACAGATTTAGTAAGTGGGTAAAGAGCTGATTATGTCGGGAGCTCTAAGGTCATTCCTGTCCATGAGGCCAAAGGGCTGGGAAGAACACTGAGGATTTGGGTGCTGAAGTGACACAACCCATATCACTAGTTTGGAAAGCATAAAGATACAGGGGGAGAAACCCTCCGTGTCCAGCACCATCTTAATAAAAGCCATGTTTAACTGGAGCACAGGAGTCCCAGGCATTCCCTCCACCAAGACCAAGTACACCTGTGTTGGGTGTGCAGCATCCTCCTGCTGCAGCTCCCCAAAACTTCAGGTGGCTGCAGCACTTTGCAGTTCCCTCTGCACTGACTAATGATCTGAGCTAGCAGGGATGAAGTGATCTGCCCATGATTACACAGCAACTGGTGACACAACAAAGATGAACAGAGACATTCCTTAGTTTTAATCCTCTGTCATGACCATCCAGCAGCCTAAGGTTTTTCCATTAAAGAGAATAAATAAGATGGACAGCATGAAAATAATTTATTCAATCTACTACTAAAGTGGGCTCCAAATTTCAGAGGCATCTGGCATTCCTGTAGATGCAATGAGAATGTCCCAGTGTCTCATTATTTTTTTGAAGATTCTATCGAGGCATAGAATTTCTTCATACTTGTTTTTAAAACAAATAGTTATTTTTATCATCCCCAGGCATTTGTGCTTCTATTTATATTTGATGCAGTTACATCACCTCTAACTGTATGTTCAAAGTGGCTGTTCTCCCTCCCACACTGAAAGGGACAATGAGTGGGAATGCACAGCTGGATGGGAACAATTGATCCAAGCTCTGTAAAGCCCCACTTGCACAAAATTGCTGCAAGTGAACTCCCAGGAGGTGAGGATTACTGACGCAAGCAAACCCAGCAAAAAGCACCAGTTCTGCATTCGGCAGAAACATAACGAAGGGCTGAGGGTTTGGCAGCAGAAATCAGACCAATATCAACGCAGCAGTTTCTCTGCATGAGACTCGCACAGGTTTAATATCAAGCTGGTGATAAAACGAAGCACACATGATTTTTATTTGGTCAAAGTGTCTGGAATGCTATTTTCCGTACCTAAAAAAAAAACAAAACATTTTGAGCATTTGATCCTATTGATTTTACTCAAAGTCCACAAATCCAAAAGTACAGTAATCTCTAGAAACACCTGTGCGTTTGATGAATTAACAACGCAGTATGAATCATTTTACCTGAAGGGTGCATTTACCGCGCACCCCGCGCTCAGAGGAGCGCCGGGACCGCGCGGGCTCCGCGGGCATCCAGCGCCGCGCCGGGGCGGCGGGAGCGCCCCGGGGTCCCTCCCCGGCCCAGCCGCGAGCCCGGGGGAGCTGCGGGCACGGAACCCGGCTCGGGACTGACCTGGGGAGCCGCGGCTGCCCGCGGGAG